CTTTTTTATTCCCCTAAATTCTCTCATTCCCATCTTTATCTTTATAAAAAAATTAAAAGAAAATTACTGTTAACAGTGTTCCTCTCGGTGTAGCACACACTTAAAACGTTCATATACAGAGCGCAGGAAATGACGATGACAGTTAAATGTGCAGTGCAGTTTGGGGATTCCCCAGCATTCAACACAGAGGTGGGGCGCAATATGTGTGTGTGTGTGTGTGTGTGTGTGTTTGTGCTGCAAATGGTGTGCAATCAAATGGATGTGGCGGAGGAAACTATAATAACGAAGCAGGATCACGAGTATAGAGTCAGCAGCAGGAGCTCAAGAAGCAGAATCAGTAGCTAAAAGCCTTTTTGGAGGGGTTCTTGCCCCCTCCATTTTAAGGAAGCTGCCTGCCAAATTTAGCCAAGTTTTAATTATCGTACTTGAGTCGAAAGCTGGGGCGAGACTAGGTTGTGGCTTTCGCAAATACACAAAGTGTTGGGTGTATTGCAAGAGGAACTGGTTCAGTTAAATGGTTTCATTTAAAATCTTAAAATACAGGATGAAAAGAATAGAGGTTAAAGTTATATTAAATGGTCAACGAGTCGTATACGTTATATTGATATATATATATTTGTCAGAAGATGAAAATAATACAAGTTAAAACTTTATTAAATAGTTATACTGATGATATGATATTAAACAGATAATAAAAATATTATAATTTCAAACTATATATATCAAATCCTTTGGTCAACAAGTCGTATACGTCATAATTATATTGACATAAAAGACAGAAAATGAAAATAATACAAGCTAAAATTATATATATATGTATAATTTGATTTAAGATATTAAACAGATGATAAAATAATGCAAGTTAAAGCTATTTCAAATGAATTGGTCACTGAGTCGTATACGTAATATTGATATTTTTTTAGACAGATGATGAAAATAATACAAATTGAAATTTTATTAATTTTTATAATAATTTTATGATATTAGACAGATGATAAAAATAATACAAGTTAAAGTCATATATACATATTTAATGCTTTGGTCAACAAGTCGTATACGTAATATTGATATTGATATTTTATTAGAAAGATGATGTAAATAATACAAGTTCAAATTAATTAATGTGTATATAGATATTATGATATTAGACAGATGAAAATAATACAAGTTAAAACTATTTTAATTGCTAAGGTCAATGCGTCGTATACGTAATATTAAAGTATTGCAGTTTTATTAAAAATTTCAATTAAAAACGGGGCAGTGAGTATGAATTATTTAAAACTCTAAACTCTAAGATTAAATATTGTTATATAGTCCGTTTTGGAATTTTTAAAGAAAATATAAGTTTTAACAAGAAAATATATACAGAAAGTCTTGACAGTAAACTAAAAGCACAGCAAAGGTAATATATTTTAATGGTAGGAATGATTTTTCACCTAACACTTTTCTACTATATTTAGAAAATGTTCAAAAATATTTTAGAAATTTAAATAGCATCTTCAGTTAATTTTGTGCTATATTTCCAAGTCTGTTTTTTAATTTTCCCTGCAACCAATGCACCAGTTCCGAAAGAAATGTTGCCTTTTTGCCCATTGCCAACTTTAAGTTAATTGTCTGAGTGGTAAAAGAGCAATCATGCATGTGTGCAAATACTTGCGAGTGTGTGTGCGTGTGTGTGTGTGTGCTGATGTGTGGAATGCAACTCCGTCTAACTGTATCTGAGCGTGCTGCATGCCCCCACATGCATATGCATGTACCTACATACATTTATATATACAGTAAGAAGAACCTACTGAATCTGTCAGTTTCTGCTGTTGGCTTTTCTTAACTTTTTCCCCAATGCTAAATGCTCTAATTACGCCTAATGGAATACCCAGACTCCCCCCTCATCGTATTTTATTTTTGTGTGCATTTGTGTTTGTGTAATTATTCGAGTATTCTTCAGTTGCCTTATTGTTGTTGTTGTTGTTGTTGTTGTTGTTTTCCACTGTCTGTGCGCATATTCATGACTTTGTTGCCTGTTCGTTGAGTATTTAAGCCAATTTAAATGGACAAAGTGGACGGAACCGGACTCCTGGCGAAGGAGACCACTTGTCCATCCTTCCTGCTAACCCATATCCTTTTTTTTTTTGGACTGCTCCACATACGCTATTTATAACACACACACATGCTCTTTTTTCCACCAACTGCACACGAGAAAGATACAAAAAAAAGGAAAATGTTTATCCCATTGTTGTCAGAATCCAAAGTTTTCTACGCTTTTTTGCTGTCTGACTGAAAATCTGCATAATTGAAATTTGTTTCACCAATTTTAAATGAATATTTCATTAGATGAAATTAAAAATCCAAAGCACAAAAACTGCATTAAAAGTGAAACAAAAAAACGATGCAGAAATAGAACTAATTTTTCACACGAGGGAAATAAATATAAAAGTAAGCGAGCTTGCAGGCATACAATAATTTATTCATGCTAAATATATCTAAACTATAACTTTCACTGCAAATAGAACATGAAATGTTGGGGAAATACTTCGAGCAATTAACAAATTAATTTAAAATTTATAATTTAAAACCAACAAAAACTTTTTCGCCACAAAACTAAAATGCAATAAAAACTTTGGGGATAGTAATAATTGTGGATAAGTAAATTTAAATTAAAAACAAGCATGGAAAATACATTTGAGAATCTGAAATTTATATGCCCTTGCAACCCTAAAATTTTCACATTGCTTAAATTAATATTTATCTATATTTTAAATTAAAATTTTTAATATGACAATTTTAAAAACTCATAACTAAGCCAAAAAAGTGTTCATTTTAATTTGGAAAGCTGTTCTATGTTATTTTTAATTAGGTTAAAAAATCTGCATACTTTTTTTTAGAAATTAAAAAAACTTAATTTTTTGCCAAATTTTTGATAAAATTTTCAAAATTTCGAAAAATAAATTTAAACCAAAAATATCTAGATCAATTTGGTTGTTGCTGCTGATCAAGAATATATATGATTTATAGGGTCGCAAATGATTTCTTTATATCGTTACAAACTTCTGACTAAAGTTATAGTTTATAGTTAAAGTTTTTAAGTGCATTGACCTTGCAAACCAAGTTCCCAAAATATAAAATAATGTTTTCAATTAAAACATAGTAACTGAGTTCTTAGTTTAAATTGAAATAGTATTATAAACCACAAACTGCAACAATATATGGGTTTTATGCAAAAGTTTGTTCCATTCTCTGAGAAAAACTTTTCAAGTGTTTTGCTTTCCATCAAACAGCAACAGAAGATTCAACCAAAAGTGCTAATTCAAATTCATAAAGTTGGATTTCTTGGGTTTCATTATCATCTTGGCCAGGCCAATCCACAAGGCTTCTTCTGCTTCAAGTTCTTGATCAACTTTATCTATTATATAGGGAAAACTGTCTAACTTTGGCTACAGCATAACCCCTTTTTTCGGTATAAACAAAATAATAAACAAAACTAATAGTTCAATCAAGCCGGGAGGGTCGGCATCAAACATGTTGGCATCGAACCATATCGAACGCAAACTCTTATACGCTCACACCCATTCGGTCTGATTCCAATTGGACGACTGGCAGCATAAAATACAAGCAACCGCTGCGCTTTTTGGCCATTTGCCTCTGCGACGCCGTCTGTGTTTCGTCTGCACACTTCCGATTCGATTTCGATTCTAGAAATACAAATATTTAAACCAATTGCGAGGCAACCGAAAAAAGCAAAACAGTTGACGGCGTTTTCTGGTGGCACAAAGCGCGGCTGCCACGGGCAGCGATTGCAATTCGAGATTCGTGTTAGCAACAGTGGTTATAATCGACAAAACGGTAAAGCGGCTATAATGAGAACAAAGTGAATGGTGTGGAATGGCCAAGTAAACTGTGATAATTTTCCCTCACTTGTGTGCTTTTATTTACACACCAAAAAGAAATAAACATTACAACTGTGCAATAAGAAAGCGGCCAATTCTTATCTTATCAAAAAGCAAGGCCACGTTGCGTATGCGTAATGTCTACTAAACATTGTCGATGGAAAAGCAGAAGTTAAGCAGCTGCTACTTACTTTCCTTTTTCCCAGAGACAATCACCAAAATATCCCAAAATGAAATGTTACCAATTTCGGATTTTGTGAGCATTTAATTAGCATCCATTAAATGCGTGTGATGTAATTCAGTGTGAGAAACGTTTAACCATTTGGAAATAACTTAACTTGGCTCTTATCGTGTTCTAGGGTTGTTTTCACTCGATAAGAATTCTAGGATTAGATAAATTCAGCAAGAAAACAATAATTAAAACCAAAAAATAAGAAATGTGTCAAGGTTTACAAGGTATTTGAAGTTATAAGGAATATTTTGAATTAAAGTAAATATAAACATATTACATTCCATTGATTTTATTAGCCTATTCACAACTAAATAATATACTTTTATTTAATTGCAAAAATATGATTGTTATTCTTATTTAATGTAATAAATAATTGCTTCTTTAATTGTCAGAATTTCCCTTAACTTTTTATCTTCTTTTCTGACAATATTTATTGGCATAGAAATAAACTCTTATAACTTTAAATAAACATCGCATTTGGCAAAAATTCCCCTGGGTTAAAATTATATATGAAAGCGAAAGAATTAAACGACAAAACCATTTAAAGCTGCTGATAATCGGTGGCCTAATTAAATGCAATTGAATTGAATATTTATCAGAGTTAAACAATTAAAACGCAAACACAATTAAAAACAAACGAATGAAGTGAAGATGGAAATGATTGAAAATGAGTGCAAAAAAATAGAACAAAATACAATTGAAATGGATCCGTAAATGATATATATATATATTTAATTTCTTTATAGTGAAAATCGCATAATTCATTTTTGCCAAAAACAACAAAACCAAAAAAAGTAAATAATTTAAATATCGCACTGAACGTGATACGTCCTCAACCCAATTAGGAGTTTAAATATATAAATATAAATTAAAGCTGTCCAAAAATGCGCCGCAACATCAAATTGATTGTATTCGTGAGCATCATTTGGATGTTTGTGATGGTCTACTATTTCCAGTCCAGCACGGAAAAGGTAAGTTTTTGGGGAATACAATTTAAGGGAAAAGTTCAAAGATTATATCGGTGGCAATAACTCAACCAGGAACGACTCTAAACACAATTTTAAACATGAGAGGGAAAAATAAAAACAAGTACTTATGAAGCTCATTTATTCTCACCTGGCTTCAACTATACAGCGTCACTTTCATTTTCCTTTTGGCCAGGTGTTCTTCTCTGTTTTTTTTTTTGTGTCTCTGCTAGCTAATGGTGATCCGTTTTTTAGCTTACCTTTCAGATCATGCAATACCCGGGCAAAAACTAAGTAAACTTCAAAATTGGATCCACCCTTCGCCAGCATTTCTTCCTCTTCCGCTTGAGTCATCATTATCATCTTTTTTTGTTTTTTTTTGGTGTAACGAACATTGCGTATGCCACCCTGCATAGTAATTATTGGATTTGCTACCGTCTTTGATACTCCATTGTTTTCTCTTTTTTCCTCATTCACACCCTCTCACCTGTCTTACCTGTCGTCTTACGTGTATGCATATAGAGTACCCTCTTCTCTTAATTAGCCTCACGTATCGGACAGGTGCCACCATCTCATCTTACCAACTGTATTTTTTGTCGCTTAATTTATAAGTTTTAATTAAGTTTTTTTACTTATAATAATCTATAGTTTAATGGTTTTTTATTAGGCAAAAGAAGTTTGAAATACATTCTAGAAATTATCTATAAAGAAAACTTATCTTCAAAGAAAATATTGAGTTTTAATCCCACATATTTCCTTTGAATTTAATCTCAAATATATACTTTATACGAAGTCAGCTACTTTACTATGCGATTTTAAATTGTATTTGTCAGTGGCACACGTGTACTTCAATTGAATTTGACTTGTTTTTGCTTACTTATTTATCCAACCCACAAGAATAACAAGCCAAAAATTCGTTTGTGTTTTTTGTAGAAAAGAATACAAACAAAATAGACTTCAGCACGTTAGGGGGAAAGAAGTCTCTTCACTCTCAAAAATGTCAATTTATTTCAGCAATTTCAAATATATATATATACTTTTTTTTGTATTTTATTTTGCTAGCGTGCGGAAAGGACAGAATTACATACTCAATAAAATAAATACAACAACGAGCAACTACAAAGTGACTGAGAGCAATAACAAAAGAAAAACAAGAAAGGAAGTTAACTTCGGGAAAACCGAAGTTTGTACCCTTATAGTTTGGTAATAGAGAACTTAGAAAAAAAGCAGAAACTTATTTATATTTACATTTTATTTTATAAGGATTTTCATATAGAATTGGAATATATATGACTTTTGGCAATCACTTACTGTTATAGCCTCTGGCACACCAGTCATATTAGTATTAAAATCGGTTTTATCAATATTTTTATCGATATTTTCAAGTTTAAAAACTAATAACTTGTCAAAAAGCATTCATTTAATTTGGAAACATTTTCTGTCTAGTTTTTAAAACCTTAATAGAATTGCATAGTTTATTTCAGAATATTAACATTTTTGTGTAATTGTTGACAATTTTAGGATTAACTTATAAATTTTGAAAAAATTCAAATTTTATTTTCCTTCGACATATCTAGATGACTCTCCTGTTGATGCTGATCAATAAATATATATTTATAGGGTCGGAAATGACTTCTTCACTGACTAAAAGTAAATACCCTCTGCAAGAGTATAAATGTTCATACATATTTTCCCTGAAAACATTGCACACAGCACTTTTTATAAATATGTTTTTTTTTTTAAGAGTGTTTAACAAAAAACCCTTTTAATTTATTGCCCACTTTGAAAGATGCTTGGCATTCATGGTGCTTCTGTTTTCTACAGAATATTGCACACCAAAAAAAAAACTCAATAAAACTGCAGAATCAACTCAGCTGAACACATTTTTTTTAAAGAAGTCAAAAATTTAAAATGAAACATCACAAAGTGTAAATTATATTAAAAGTTTACAGATATGCGTTCACACTGAAAAAATAAACAAATATATATGGGAAACTATAGGAATTTCTTTATGATATATTAAAAATATTTAAACAATTCTTTAATATAATTAAAATATTCAGTGTTATCTCAACACACCGGGTAAATAATATTAAATTAATAACTGATGGCATTCACTGGTATGGTATGCACCCACATTTAATAAGTGTGAAATGCAATAATGCCCTCTGTTAATTACACTTTTGATCTTTTGCAATGATTTTTAAAATTGAGGAAAATAATAATACAAAAAAGGCAGCAACAAAGCAGAGTGCATTTAAAAAAACTGAAAACGTAAATCTGCACAAATGAGCCGATTATGGAGATGCCTGGTGTGGTGTGTGTGAGTGAGTGTAAATACACACAGCGAATCATCATCATCATATCATCATCATCACATCATCATCATCATCATCATCATCATCATCGTGGTGGTCAGGAGGAAGTTGCAGCCATTGTGGACACTTGCCCCATTCCTTCCGGAATCCCCACAGCAATCATCTTCTTTGCACCACGAAATAATTTTTCATGTAAACTTGATTTATTTGGCTTTTTTTTATCCCGGCACTGGAAAATGCAGGAAATACTGCCATAGTCCACTCATTGCAATTGGTTTTTCAGTGGCTTTTTTCCCCCACTTTTGATAATCTGTCCTCCGAAGCACGTTTAATTATTAACTTATTCCCTGGCACAAGCTAAATTAAAGCCACAAACTTTGTAGATAAGATTATGGTTTGTTTGAGGGATCTGCAGGCTAACTTTAGTTTGACATTATCAAATATTTATGATCATGAGGAGATAAGTTCAAGTTGGTTTAATAACCAATTCTTTGTTTAGCACAGAATCTTCAAGTACTCAGTACTCAGTACTTCAGTCAAGTGAAGAGGGAATGTTTCCAAGCAGTGATAAGAATATGTATTTCAGCTACAAATGTTTGTGGTGTATTAAATAATACAAGATTAGAGATTACTTATAAATTGTATCTCTAAAACCATTAATTCCTCAATCCTCGACAATCTTTCACCAGTTTGTGTTTGCCATTCAATGACATTTCATTCATAAGGCCATATCCGAGTTTTTCTGCCATCTCATGTCTTCAACTTGATTCGTAATCGAAACGAGAGCATTGAAATGGGGTTTGAAAGTAAATAAATAAGCAACACAAAATAAAACATAAAAAAACTTGCACACACAAGTCAATCACACATTTAATTTAATTTAATTGTTAGCAGCGGGGCGTTGGTTACATAACTGATTGATTAGTTAGCGCCTTTTTTGTTGCTGGTCTTCTTTCATTTTGTGCCTTAATTACTTTGGTTAACCATTTGGAGTTCCCGCGCTTCTCAATATAGTGTTTGAAATTGAACTTTCTCTTTTTGCGACTAAACTTTTCCACTCACATCTGGGGTCACGCTTGGCTTTAGTCATTTTTTTACGGATTTAAATTGGGATGATGCAAAGAAAGTTAGTGTTTCCCATAAGTTTTTTTTTTTTTTTGAAATTTCTCTGGCAAGAATTTTCTCCCCTCTCTGATGCACATTGCCATAATTTCCATTTGCTTGACACTCGAAGATGTCCCAGCATCGTTGGTCATATGCAAATGATGCCATCATAAATGCAAATTTGGACAGAAAACTTTTTCCAGAAGTTTTCTTCTCGATTTTTCACCACATGCAATGCCTGCCTGCGATCTCATATATGTAAAAAAAGGAAATCTATTATAACGACTGTCATTTAACTTTTATGGCCTTGCCGAAAAAAAAGACAGTATAGAGATAGCAAAAAAAGACTCCGATGGTTTATAAATATTTCAAGTTCAAACTAAAATACTTTCAAAGACCTTAACGCCTCATGAATTCGATTTATAGCATCATGGATTGGACCATAAAAAAGAGACCAGTTGATGTATATATAATAAATAAATAAATCTGTTTGGCTTTGTAGCAAAAAAGCAAAACTAAACATTTGCGTGACAGAGCAAGTTACGCTCTGGTTGACACTCCACATCGCATTAAACTCACTTCAAAAGAATGCCAAGATTCAGCAAAAAAAATATATACATACAAAAGTAATTTGCTCTTGAAAGCATTGAAATTAACATTTTGGTCATGGAAATTAATTTCAATTAAGCTCAATAGACGGCAATGGTCGGGCTTAGGAATCGAACTGGTTTTTATATGTTTTGAGATGATGACGAAAGCAGATCGATAAAAGATTTGATATTTAATCTGAAAATGGGAGACTTCGCTTCGAAGAGTTTTTCGATTTCTGGAACAGAGAGTTCCAATTAATCCATGGCTCTAATGGTCTTAATTGCATAAATTTTAGATTCTTTTTAGAATGTTAGGTCACTCAGAAAACCATCGAAATAAAGTTTCCCATCTATATTTAACGACAAACGTCTGCTCCTTGGCCGTTGGATAAATTAGCATATATCAAACAACTCGCGTTGACTTTTTCAGTTTTGGGACTAAGGCTTTCAATGACAACTGGCCAATCGAAAAACCCGCCCGTTAGTATGGAATTTACAAAGTTCAGTTGCTTATTTGGCATTTGATCAGCATTTTGATTTACTATGAATAATTAACAGGCCTGACTTTTAATTTTGTTTAACTAATTTGCGCTTGAGGGATTAAAGGGGAAAGCGACGGCATAAGGTAGGGATTGGAGGTCACAGTCAGCGTAAATGATAAACTTCTCGCTCGACCGGCTGTGGATATATTTAATTTTTGAATGGGCCTAAACCAAAACTGGTTATCTGCCTCTCCATGTGGCCTTTTCTTCTGAGCAGCTGACCATCTGCGATTGCTGCGGCTGCTGCTGCTGCTGCTGCTGCTGCTGCTGCTGCTGCTGCTGCCGCGGGGGATGTTGCTCATGCTGCTGGCAATGTTGCTGCTATGTTGCTGTTGCATTTGATGTAGATCCAACTGTCAATGCTGTAATATTCATTCCATTATTGCAGTTACTGTTGTGGCTTAAAATTAGCTAAATGTTTTATGCTGTTCCTTCTGATATGAAACCTTCAATTTCGTTGCAGCTTCTGCTGTTGCTTATGCTTCGTTTTATCTTATTTTTATCCTTTGAAGAGTCCTTTGTCTTAACAACCCATCATTTGAATTTTTCCTGTAATTTCCAATGCTGCATTTGCTGTTTACTTGGCAGCTATTGCTCTTGCCGTTGTCATTTCCCCTAACAGCAATTGCAGCTGAAAATGTCAGCTATCGAAGACTTTTCCTAAACGACAAATGCCTTTGCTGTTGATTTTTCTGGTTTTTCCACTGACAGCTGTTGCCACTGTAGATGGCAGCAAATGCAACCTACTGCAAAATTTGGGAAAAGGCTTTTCCTTTAACTTAGGATTTAGAACTTGGGTTTAGCAGCTGCTGCTGCTGCTGCTGCCTTCTTTTTGGCATCTTCAGCTGCTGCGGCTGCGGCTTGTTCGCTGGCTTTCTTGGCTTCAGCCTCGGCTTTTTTCTTAGCATCATCCATTATGCAACGTAAACGTAACTTAACGCATGAGGCAAGGTCGTCTGGTTTTGCTTACCAATTTCACCCTTTATGGGACTTCTTCTTCCCTTCATTTACTGATCCAATGATGTGTTTTTCTGCACAGCAAATAAATTTGGGATGCTCAAAATATTGGACTTCGAATTAATAATTAATGATATATTTCGTTATAATAAATAGTAATTTTAAATTTAGAAGACTACTGTCGGAGAACAAATCCAGAATCAACTTTAAGAATCAAAGAAACTGTTCAGAGACAACTTTTGCTTGAAACTATGATCCATTATTATTCATTATGTTCAACAATTAAAATTAAAATAAATTTAAAGACTTTAATGTAATGCAAAGAAATAAATTCAAAGACTTCAGTTTAACTTAAATTTTCTGCGTGCTCAAACCGGTCACGATGCCATCCCCATTGTCCATATTTTTTCTTTTTTTAGGTAGTTGCCTCTGGGGCCACTTTCAATTTCGATTGCTGATTTTTATTGTTATTTTACAACTTGTTTGGACTGCTTCCTATTCCGACCAGTGGCAGAGACCCACAAATGGCATAACAATGATAAATGCGGCCAGGGAAGTATTTTCTTTGTCGAAGGCGGACAAAAGGAGAGCTGTCACGGCAAGCTGTTTCGAACTGAACTTTAAGGCTGTTCTTTAAATGTCAACGAAAATAAAGGAACCGGTTTTATGATCACTTTTACTCGAGAAAGGGTTTTACAGAATTTAAACAAAAAACGAAGCCCATTTAAGTTAATTAAAAGAGCAGCAAAGATGATAAAATGTAACAAGAGTAAGGTCCAAGGTCTTGAAACCTATTAACATGCATTAAGGTGGCTCCCTAAGGCTAAAATTTGACTTTACTTGACCAACTAACATACAAATAACAAGAAAGGGAAATAAGTTTTGGGAAGCCGAAGTTTAAATACCCTAAAAGTTTGTAGTTTAAATATGGGATTGTATAAAATAATAATCATAACTAAGCTTGAATTATTAGCTTTCTTTGAATAAATATTTATAAATTTATTATAGTATTTATAGATATTTAAATATGACAATTTTGTAAAGAAATCCAAGTTTAAGAATCTCATAACTAAGTCAAAAAAGTATTAATTTAAAATCGGAATGCTTTCTCATGTTAGTTTTTATTAGATTAACAAGTCTACGTACTCAATTTCAAATGTAAAATAAACAAATTTTTTCATTAATGTTTGCCCCTTAGAAAATTTAGTAAATTTTTAAAAAATTAAAATTTTGCCGACATAGCTAGATCGATTCCCCTGTTGATGCTGATCAAGAATATATATGATTTATAGGGTGGGAAATGACTCCTTCACAACGTTACAAGCTTGTGACTATAATGATAATACCCTGTAAGAGTATTAAAGTATCCCATACAAAAACATATACATGTACCCCTGTGACCCAACATACCACTTAACCGGGACTCGTTGAAAAATTATGTTACCAAAAATAAACATGAAAAAACGCTGCAAGACGGCCTGCCTCTGTGTGTTTGCCCAACACTCGTCACTCGGATACGTCAACTTAACGTGTTTTGCGTCATAAAGTTCAAGTTCATTATGACAACCCGGAGGCAGAGGAGGAAAAATCTGCAACATCCAAGACAGCGTCGTAACAACCAGTTAACATCTCTCACATGACGAGGGGGACAGTCCAGTGCGGCGCCCACGAGCCGGCGAAAAGGAAAACAAAGGCTGAAATAACAACACTTTTGGCTAAGTGCTACTTGCTGGCGATTACACAAAAAAACAAAAACAAATACCATAAAAAATTTATGGCTTTTTGTCCCTCCTGATTTTTTTTTAGAGGGGGGTATTAAATAATTATTATTTAATGATGGGCAGATGCCAAGCTGAGAAACAATCCGACGAATGCGGCGTGGGAATGACGGGAGCAACGGATGACTGTTTAATGTGGGTCAGTAATTGACCCATTTAATTGTTCACCAGATGACCTTCAAATGTTGGGGTTTTAGATTGCAAAACAAATATAAATTATATTTAAAATAACAAGCATTTTTTAATACGCAGCCAATTATTGTGGAAAATAGTTACTCAATGTTTTAATGCAGTTTTTATATAGATAGAACCATAAAAATATAAATTTTTCTATGCTATTATAATACTATAAAAGGATATATTTGTATTCTATTAATAGGAACTTGAAAAAGATTCATAGTTTTATAATTCCACTCTCATTTTAACCGGTTACTTTATTTTACAAATTGTACAACTTTCACGTAGCCCAATGAATGCCAATTTTAAAGACCCCATTGACATTTTGATTCCGGCAAGACTTCTTTCGTGACTCACAGATCAACAATAATACATTTAAATGTCAATTCAAAGATGATCATTTAAATATATAAATTTTAAGCCCAAGTACAAGTGAAAGTACAAACTGGCGATAATAGCGGCGCAGACAATTGAACAAGTCGAGAAAGTCCAACCAACGACGACAATTCAAATGCATGGAATACTGTCTCCGTTCGTTTTTATTTTTTTATTTTATCTCCCAAAAGCCAACTGAATACCAAAAAAAACTGCCTGGTTGTGGGGTCTTTTTCCTTCTCCAACTTAAGCTTTTTCTGCTGCGATTTTTGGACATTTTCAGCCACTTAAGCAGTGGCATTCACCTCCGTTTTCTGTTCAGCTGTTGATAGTTTATTTTTTTGTCTGGTTTGCTGCTCATTTTTTACTATCTAACAGTTGTAGTTTTCTATGTTTAATTGTTTTTAACAATTTGTGGGCGTGGTTTGACGAGATGAAAGGGTAAACTTCACGTATTTACATAACAAAATAACATATATTTATATGTGTATTTTTACAGCAACCTGCTTAGATAAACATATCAGTGAGTGTCATAAATATTTGTTTTAGATTTTATTCTGCCCCACTAATTACCAAATTGAATTGAATAATTCATCATAAGCTATTGACGCTTCATTAAAAACTAAATGTGGTTCCCTTTAAGCTTCCCACAAATCTCTGACAGAATGAAATATATGAGCTCTTTCGGGTATTAACACCGCAATGCGTCGAACATTAAATATTTAATCCGTTTGATAATCGCGATTTGGTTCATTTATTGAAATGCGGTTAAATATTTAGCCGCATTTTGGATCGGTTAATATTCTAATTAAAGCATTTGCCAACTAGAAATGGATGAACACACCAAATTGGCATTGCAAATAAACAAAGACCGCAACACTGACCACACCAGATGACATGATGATTACCATGATGATGAAGATGATGATAATACTGATGACTATGAAGATGATGAGGATGATGATGTGGCACTTAATGGGTCGGGGTCATCTAAAATGTGAGTGTCTGCAGCTTCCCCGAACCGAAACGAATTTGTTTTTCCATTTTCTACTGCAACCAGAAGCGAGAGATAAAAATTGTACATATTATATGACTCCTCATTTGTTTGTTGGTTTCTAGTTTAGCATGGTTTTTTTGTTGTTTGCTTATATTTTTTTGCTATCCAACTGTCGCCAGCTTCTGGCAATTTGTCCACAAATAGTGCATCCATCAACTGATTGTTGAACTGCCTCGAATGTATCTCTTTGTACATATCCGATGGCAGGCCCTGAGTGAGTTCACCCTTGCCTGACTGATGACATGTGCCGGTCTATTTGTATGAACAGTGAAAGAGTATCTCAGACTAAAGAGATATATAGCCTTCAGAAAATGTATATAATTACCACAGAGATGTACATATATTCCCACAGAAAAATATAATTAAACCTTAAGTACTAGTACTTTAAGTTTGCTTTTTTATATGATAATAAATACTTCGATTTAATGTTTCTTTTAAATTTCTTAATTATTTATAGCTTTATTATTTACACCACTGTTCGTTATGGTTTTCCTATTTCCTTCTTTTTTCCGAGGGCGTTCCCAGCTGCTTTTTGTGCTTAATCATTGAAAACTCTGTTTGAGTCACTGCCAGACGAAATGAAAAATAACCAAAGACAATCAAATGGAGACAAACAGAGACTGACATAATGGAAATACACACACAGACAATATAAATGATAGAGCCCATAATTTGTTATAGTTGTGTTCTGTCTATATTTGAGTTTGTTTCAAGTCTGCTTTTAATGGATGACCCACTTTGGTGGCCACCAGTTGATTATAAAGTGAGTTAATAGCTTATAGCAGGCGTGAATTTCTCAGTCCAATTTCCCCCAGTTGGCCTTAATTGATTTTCTTTCTTTGGAAAGACTTGATTCTTTCCCGGGGATCAGAGATCAGAGACATGCAATAAGCCATTGTCTTGACTGTGAGTCCCAGACCGAAATTTATGCAAAGCACTTCAATATATTTTATGAAGAGATCTCTTGTCGCAGTCCCTGTCTTGTTTGGCTTTATTGAGGCGGTTAAGGGGCTGGGGTGTTGTACAAGTCGTAGGCACTTAGGCAAAGTCACTCTCAGTGGCAATTTTGGGCATGCAACATCCCCCCACACGAGACCTCAAAACATGCAACAGCTGCCGCTTGGCTGCAACTTGCAATTTATTGCAGCTTCATCTGCTCAGCCACACCAAGTTGCAAGTTGCAAGCTGCCAAATGTTTGTGGTCCTCCAGCAAAGTGCCTCCGGAAAAGCCATCAGCAAGATTTACTTGAAACAGCAGGCCAGCTTTAATTTTAATTGGAAAATACTCAACACATTCAAAAGTGTTATTTGAGATAACAGAAAGTTGTTCTTCAGCAGATGGAAAATCTGAGATTAGGTTACTCTATAACTTGAAATATTGCATCACTTAAGGTTCAATAAAATTGTTATGTAAAACTAAAACCTTTAAAAATGTCATTAGGACCACCTATAATCTATACCTATTAGACTTCAGGCTCTCCTTTTGGAGACTGATTTATGGCATGACCTTAACAGAAATAGAAAGGAAGATCAAGCCGCAGGCATAAAGCAATAACTATATATATATACACTTAATAGTTTTTTTGCAAGACAAAAAATAATAATATAAAACTTGTTTGCTGCAATTGCAGCTGCTGTCATGAGGAAGCCCCTATCACTGCTACCCATCTTATGGTTGTCCAAAAATAAAAGAGAAGTTTGCCTAAAGGGTTCGAATTTCAGATACCCAGTTGTTATAGTTATATAAAAAATATTATAAAAATATTTAGATTTTAAAGAATTTGTTTAATTAATTTGGTTACTTAAATAATCTAGTCTTCAGCTCAAAATACTTACCTAAAGTCATATTTTCTGTTATATTTACGTTTCAAAATTCCTTTAAAAATCATATTGCTTTAAAGACTAATATATTAATAGTATTGGTGACATACCTTCCCCCCAATTAATTCCCACAAAAACAATACACCCCTTGAGCCCCATTAGTAAGGGGTACAAAAAGTGGAACCATCCAACGAAGATGCCACACAAATTTTGCTACCAAAACAATTTGCGATTGTTGCTGCCGTTGATGCGGCCGCAATTTGGTTGGCCTGGCCCACAATTTCCATGCCACAGACGAGTGTGTTGCATAACTGCAGTTTGCCACTGCCGCTGCTGCCACACAATCATCCATCAGCGGCAGGTTCGGGGGAGTGGGTTCAAGGGGTTTAAGCACACATCACATGTGAGTTTTGGCCATTAACTTGTTGGGTCAATCCATCGCTGGTGTTGGCCAAACATAACAGATAATTATGGTTTCTGTTTGCTTTGAAGAGGATCCAAGAGCCGCTTTCATGGGCCAGCGAACACTTTACACGATTTTCTACTTTGTTTTAGGCATCGACTCATCATCAGTTTTGGCTTTGTCTCCATTTTCTTGTTGACATTAAAATGTGGTTTAATATTGGCCCACAAATTGGCCAAAAAATGTCATTAATGTTTGATAAAAATCTTCTTTCATCTAGGCCAAGTTATTGCCTCTTGTGTGTTGTAATCAATCATAAAAGTTTAAAAGGAAATGGCTTGTTAAGAGTGGTAAGGAAATTGTTAAACATTAAAAATATAAAATTGTTTTTTGATGGATTTTTTTGTACAAAAAACTGCATAAGTCTCCATAAATCAATTTGCAGTCAGAAACCCTTTCATATATGCTTTTCAATCAACCGAAAAATATTTCCAACTATTTAATTGATATTCAAAAGAACGGAGACGCCGGGCATCACAAACTTTTTGATTATTCTGACGAAATATGAGACCCTTTTTGGTTAAATAAACTTTTACCGAAAATGTCTGACCAGAACTGAATAACAAGATTTTCCTGAGCCCATGTCATGTGGCGTAAACAATTTTTTGGATCAAAGTTCGAGTTCAATGGTCGGAATGGTTGTTTGGGTTTTTCTTGTTTTCTTCTGACTGCAGACTATTAGAAGTATTTTTTTGTTGTCAATATTTTCGGTTTCAAATTGCGTGCGTAGACTTTTAATTGAATTTTGTTGTTCTTGGGGAGTGGCCTTTGATTCGTAATGCAGAGAAATGATACGGCAAACTTGAGTCCAAGATTGCATTAAATGATAAAGTTTTAGCCATTTGTTCATCGTTTTTATATATGTTTCGTGTTTCTTGCATTGTTTTTTATGGGTGAAAACTAAATTTGATACGTTCCAATTACTAAATTATGCAGTTAGGAGCTTTCCCAGCTCTCCCAGGTCTCTTTCGATGTGAAAATCATTCAGCTGGAAGACTGCACACACTCAGAGAGACTCACAGCCGCAGTAAAATGTGAAAAAAGCAGCAAAATAACACGAAAGCACCAACCGAGATTAAAGAAATCTCCGCTCCACTCTGGGGCTAAACAAACAGACAGAAAAATAAAACCAAATAATGGTTAAGGTTGAGTGAATTAAGGGGAAACAACATATAAAAGCAAATTAAAATCGTGGAAAAGGTAGAACTCGGGGGGAGAATATGTAAAATTGTCACTAATTAGAAAATGGAAATTCACAATTAGGAAAATATATTCATTAGAATGCACATAAAGTTTATTGTTCAAATGATATCAGCGTATTCCATTTGTTGCAAGAGTGTGATTAATAACATTATTGAAAATAGCAGTTCTTCTTTAATGAAAATTTAAAAGGTAAATTCTCCATCGCCACGATCCTGGTTGGCCTGCTTTTCCTCAGCAATCTCGGCCAGCATTTCCCTGGTCTCGCGAGCCAAACCAATTAAAGTTCGCAAATCATTCTCCAGAGTTAGGATTCGCTTGCGTTGTATTTCAATAACTTGATAGTAGCGGCAGCTTCTATCTCCACGAGTCTGGGCCAAATTGCGCCAATAATCCAAGTCAGCATCCTCGGGAATTGCCTCCTTGAGAGCTCTATTCAGGACCAATACCAAACGAGCCAGAGTTCGAAAGGAAATCCTTGAAGATGACTTCTTAGACTTCTCTTCCGGAGCAACCAATGGATCACCAAGGGAGTCCAAAGATTCACCAATGATATCATTGATGAGCGAATGGGTCGAAAAGTTGGACTTGAGATCCGAATCAATGGCTGAAGACTCTGCCGGAGGATCCAGTGAGTCCTGCTGCTGCTTCTGCAGTTCCTGGATCAAATTGTGGGCCATTGTAAATAAAGGCTTCTTAATTTTGAATATATATTTTGTAAAAGGCTGTCTACAGCTTGATGTAAGAGCAGAGAAATCATTCGGGGCAAAGGTAGTGTCCCAGTCAGGGTGAGTTAATAAGACAGAGCTACTTGTGTCTACAAATTGTTTACAAAATATAAATAGATCGTTTTTATCAGAGTTTATCTCTGAAGTTCATTAAAACGCGCTTCTAACAAATCATTTAAATGGCAGAGACAGACACAAGTTTCCCATTTGTGCCATAAAATCTGCTTCAAATATTTTCATATTTTCTCTTTGACCCCAAAAAACAATCATTGCCATCAAATGGCTCTGAACTCAATAGAAAACAATTTGTTTTTCTTGGCTATTTCATCTGTATTTGGTTGCAAACATTGAACCCCAAAGTTGACCAAAAACAAAGAGACAAAAAACATAAATGGCAACTTGTTGCTCTGGTTAAACTTGACACAAACTTGTCGCCGCCAATAAAGTTGATGATAGTTAGTTTTTTTGTGCTCACAGCTAATGACAATCTGCAGCAAAAACTAGAATTTGGTGAGCTTGATTTTGACCTTTTGAGTGGGCGAAAAATAGATACAAAAAAAGAGACTATATCATCTTTCTCTTGACGTCAGACACATCATTTTTCAGCCATTATTCTCCAGAGGCTGTCTATATATAGACTTGACTTGCAATGGGAATTGCTAGCCCAAAGGACAAATAAATTTGCAAATGGAGAGGAGAGTTTTGCATTCCTGTGATAAAAATAAATCTACTTAAGGAGTCGAAAATTGATGCTATTGGCCATTAAACCCGGTTGCATATTGCTCACCGAGTTCAATTGGCCATTTTGGCGACCACAGTTTCCACTTCAAACAATGAAACTAATTAAGATTCGCTTGCCAGGATATTGGAAATGCCAAATAGATCTCTACATTGGAGTGAAGGAGTAAAGTCCTGTGGCACACAAATGCCACACAATGCATTTCCGATGGCGTCGAGCTTAAAGGCTTATTTCTTGGCCACCTCATTCCACTCCCCCCAGAGTTCATTGTGTTTACTCTGCGTATTCGTAATCTGATTGGTTTATGAACCAGTTAAGGACACCATTTCGACTCCAAAGCACTTCATGAGTTTGATTTTGGGAGAGCAGCCCACCCCTCAAGGTGTTTGTCATATGAAATTGAAACTGTTTTCATCGAAATCGAACTGGTTTGAGGAAATTGAATACCTAAATGAAGTGCGTGAGTCTAATTTCCTTGAGTTTCTTAGGTCAGAACTATAAGAGACTGTTTGAAATTTGATAAAATACTTTATTCTTGAATTTAAGACTACGGACAAGTGATGTAATTGCATTTTTAGGTAAAATTCTAAGAAAACTATAACTAATAGCTGTGAAAGCTTTAAAAAACATTTAGTAAATTATTATATCCCCCTTAACCTTAATCAAGAATCTCTTCTGGAGTAAACTAATCCAAGCATGGCCCATTTATTTCCCTTAAGAACTCTTAAAAGCTTTCCACAAATCCAGCTTCATCGATAGACCAAGAAAAGGGATGCGACATCTGTTACCACTCAGAAAAAGTAAAAGTATTTCATTGAAGCTAATTCGAATGGGGCTTTTATTCGGCTAACTGACCCCAAACTAAATTGACAAATGAATCATTTCACTCTGCCGAACAGTGACCCAATTCTACGGCTCTCTCTTTCTGAATGAAACCGTCTGAGGGTTACGATTATTAATTGTCCTTTTGCGTTGAATCTATTTGTCAAGAGTTTTGTCAGGAGCTCCTTTATCGGCAGCTCTTCTAACGCTGATTTATGTGTGGCAAAAGCGTATTGAAAGCGATTTCACTGCGTATGCGTGATTTTAATTTTAAGTAGAGCGCTTTTTCTGGCTCTTTGAGTTCGTTTCTCTCTCTCTTTTTCTTTGTTGCCTGCTTTTGTGGGACTTTCCCCATTTGAGTTTCGCTTTTACTTGAAACATGTTGCCTTTTAGCCACGCATTTGAAACGCATTTTTAACACACAGAGTTAGTCCCCCTTTCAGGGTTAGTCCACTTTGGCAATTCTATGAAAAGCGATTCATTTGAAATGCAAGATCTCACCCAACAGCTTTGGCCATTTAAAATATTTTGTGTTGGCACTTTTAAATAATTTATTTAAACCTGACTCTCAAGAAAAGACTCCCTGGATGGCTATAGTTTGGTATGAGAAATGTAAGATTTTCTGAAAACGTTATTTTTTGTTGTCTGCTCAGGGGCATTGTTGTCCTTGTTTTGTCTATCTTTTATATAAAACCAGACACATTGTCATACACTTCACTGGTTATTGAATGTCACCAGACTTGAACTTGTAATTTACCTAAAAAGATTCTATATTAAAGTAAACCAAGAAGGAAACTTTATTTAGGCTTTTAGTAGACTTTATTCCTAATTAAACAAGAAACAAATATGACTGTATTTTATACCAATTTCCTGCAGCATCTTTAAGTAAAATGTTGGCACTGGAAAACAATTGTTTTAGGCCTTTTGTGTTGAAACGATTTTCATGTTATTTTAGCCAGGAATCTGGGGGGCTTTGTTCAAAACTGGGTCGTGGTCTGTGGCAACATTTGCAATTTATAGATTATTAATCTTGGAGCCAAACACGAAAACTGTTGGGAATGGTTTTGTTACTGGGGGTCCCCAGGACTGTTCAGTTTTGTCCTGCAATGTTGTGTTGCGAGCTGGAAACTTTGGTGAAACTTTGCCAGGACCTGCACGAAGGCAGCACCAACCAACCCTTTGCTACACTCCAAGGAAATGATTCTTATGTTAAATATAAATAATAGAAAATATTTAAGGCATAACAAAACTAAAGATATGAACTAAACTTATTTCGTGATAAAAAGCAGAATACTTTGTGGTAAATTACATTAATTTTCCACAGATTTCCCTCACATTTTCCCTACATTTTCCAGTGCATTTCAATTGCTCCCAGTTGAGTTGAGTTATTGCCCCCGAACGGGCGTCAACGTCGCCAATGTGGCGCAGATTAAAGAAATAAATTAAAGCACTTGTCTCACCCTCCGCCACTTCTCTGTGTGTCCTTTTAGGTGGAAAATCGAGCGCTGCGACTACGTGAGGTGGCCACCGCCATGCAACAGTATCAGGACGATTCCTCATCGGCGGCAGCAGCAGCAGCAGCCTCCACGGCCCGCCAATGGGCTCCCGCCGGTGGAGGAGCAGCTGGCAGCGGGGCCGACGATCCCGGTGGCAATGTCATCTTAATCGGCTCCGTAAAGGACTTTGAGCGCAACGCAGTCCATGGCCTCAAGCTGAATGGCATTGTGGCCCTGGAAGAGACATCTCAGGTAATGAACTTTAATGAAATTCATTTTTGCTTTGTTTACTCTGAAGTAACCAATAATTATGGTTTATATATGTATATAGCATTTATTATTAATATAATCATGTAACTAAGAGTATTAATCGGAATCCTTTCCCTATAACTTACAGGGTCTCAGTGGTGGTACAGGTGGCCCTAGAGGTCGTTTACCTGTGGCTCCCAGTGGAAGAGGCACTGAAATCGAATACTTTGATGAGGCGGGCTATATTAGAGCGGGATCCCTGCGCAATGGCGAAGATCCTTACATCAGGAATCGCTTTAATCAAGAGGCTAGCGATGCTTTACCCAGTAACAGGGAGATACCAGACACCAGGAATCCCATGTAGGTTACTTTGTATACTTTACTTAACCTTCTCTTATTTAACTCTTATTAAATTATGCTTTTATGACCAGGTGTCGGACCAAGAAATATCGCGAGGATTTGCCCGAGACGAGTGTCATTATTACCTTCCACAATGAGGCTAGGTCCACTCTATTAAGAACCATTGTGAGTGTCCTGAATCGCAGTCCCGAGCATTTGATAAGAGAAATTGTTCTGGTGGATGACTACAGTGATCATCGTAAGTACATATAAACTACATCTTAAGTTTAGATTAACATTGAATTATATTCCTAAGATAATAATATATATAATTGTTATTTTAACTAACCTTCTTTCCAGCTGAGGATGGTCTGGAGCTGGCCAAAATAGACAAAGTCCGTGTTATCCGTAACGATAAACGTGAGGGTTTGGTAAGGTCAAGGGTTCGTGGTGCAGATGCCGCTGTGAGCAGTGTCTTGACCTTCCTCGACAGCCACGTCGAGTGCAATGAGCAGTGGCTGGAACCGCTCCTGGAAAGGGTTCGCGAGGATCCCACCCGAGTGGTCTGCCCCGTGATCGATGTGATTAGCATGGATAACTTCCAATATATTGGCGCCTCAGCCGATTTACGTGGTGGCTTTGACTGGAATCTGATCTTCAAGTGGGAATACCTGAGTCCCTCGGAGCGTGCTGTGCGGCATAATGATCCTACGACGGCTATAAGGACTCCAATGATAGCCGGTGGCCTTTTCATCATTGATAAGGCGTACTTTAATAAGTTGGGCAAATACGATATGAAAATGGATGTTTGGGGTGGTGAGAATCTGGAGATTTCATTCCGTGTTTGGCAATGTGGGGGTAGTCTGGAAATTATACCCTGCAGCCGGGTGGGTCACGTTTTCCGGAAACGGCATCCATACACTTTCCCTGGCGGAAGTGGCAATGTTTTTGCAAGGAATACAAGACGTGCGGCAGAGGTTTGGATGGATGATTATAAGCAACACTATTACAATGCTGTGCCGCTGGCTAAAAATATTCCCTTTGGCAAGTGAGTACTTTGGAAATGAATTTCTTTTACTAAAAAAGAAAATATCAATAGTTTTAGATGAATTCTTGAAATATTTCTTTAAGCAAAATATATATTTTTCGTGCACAAATAGTTTATTCAAGTTATTATGTTTTCTTTTTCCTTTTAATTCTCACTCAGCATTGATGACCGTTTGGCTTTGAAGGAGAAATTGCATTGCAAACCATTTAAATGGTATCTGGAGAATGTATATCCTGACCTGCAGGCCCCCGATCCACAGGAGGTGGGACAATTCCGCCAGGATAGCACCGAATGCTTGGACACAATGGGTCACTTAATCGATGGAACTGTGGGTGAGTGTGACTTTTAACTAAATAAATAGTTATTCATATTAAATTATATAATGTTTATAGTTAAAAATGCAATTACTAACCTTTGAACAATATTTGATATTATAATTAAACATTTTCCATTCCCTACACCTTATAAAAAACCCCCTTAGGCATCTTCCCTTGCCACAATACTGGCGGCAATCAGGAGTGGGCTTTCTCCAAGCGTGGCGAAATCAAACACGATGACCTCTGCCTCACCCTGGTGACCTTTGTCCGCGGCTCACAGGTGGTGCTAAAGGCCTGCGATGACTCCGAGAACCAGAGATGGATTATGCGCGAAGGTGGCCTAGTGCGGCACCACAAGATCAATGTGTGCCTGGACACCAGGGATCAGGCACAGCAGGGAGTTAGTGCCCAGCACTGTAACTCCGCTCTGTCCACGCAACGTTGGTCCTTTGGCAAGTACGCGTGAGAGGGGAGAGAGCTGGCCGGACCAGGCTAAGCCAGGATAATGACGATGATTTAGCCAGATCGGTCGTGATATATGTGCAAGTCGATCGGGGAAGCGATGCGGATTGTATGTGTACTGTATGTGTACTTGTAATGATTTACCCAAAATGTTGATTTGTTGCTGAACGGAAGACACAGACGACAGAATACCCTCACCACACACAGGATTATATATTATAGCTGCATATACATTTATATGGAATAAGTTCAAGTTCTTCAGCCAACTTTGTCATCTCAAATCAACTGCTCCTGGGGAGGGTTTAAAACACACACACACACGGCGAAGCATACAAAAAATGTACTTAGACTGATTAATTTTTTGTATACATATATGTATAAAAAAAAGAAAACAACTATATGAAAAGTGAAAAAGAACACATGTAAACCTTTGGCAGCTGAAATGTAACTAATTTGCACAGCACTCACACTCACACACATTCATTCAAGTCAATTACAATATATGATAATCCGTTTCAGATTACTCACAACCCCAAGCTCAGAGTCTTCTCAAAAACCTTGTACTTAAAATAAAACATCAAATGTTATCATTAGTTTTAATTTACACCTAAGTGAAATCATTTAAATCATTGACAACAACGGTATGAAATATGTGTATGTGTATGTATATAATGTGAAGCAGATATTATTATTTACAAGGGAAACAAATTTTAAAAGCGAATCGGTTTGACTCCTGTGTTTTGTTTGATATTACGAATTCGCATAAATCATTTAAACTTTTCCAATGAAAATGAATTCGCTTTTTTCACATAAATTCCTTGTTTTGTACTATTTCTATGGCTGATAAAATGCGAATAATTAAAAACAACAAAACACAAAGAGGAGTGAAGAAAACAAAACCAAATATTGTGTATCTGTTTGTGTGTGTACAATGCGTATACTCGACAAGAAACAAAAATGAATGATTAAAAGTGAACTTTTAATTTAAATCAACTAGAAATGCCACAAAAAGAAAAACAATAAATGAAAGCATAAAAAAAGAATACGTATGTACAAAGACTTTCCTTTTGGGCCAACGGTGCGTATGCTTAATGTAATTGCTTACATGGCGAGAAGGAAGGGGGCCAAAATGGGGGCACAGCTGCCATCAAATCTGGCTAAGTACTTGGGCCCACATGTAGGTTAAATGACTTAACTTTTAACTCCGAAATGCCTGCCACGACAACACCCTCCAGCGAGATGAAAACTTGCCACATTACGCATACGACACGTAAACACGACCAAAAAATATCTACATAGCCGAGTTCGTTGCGCTAATTTTGTCGTCGAGCTTAAAAAAAGAAATGACACAGCGCTGTGGTGAAGAGCCAAGTTATTTTAAACCAGGACAAGGCAGTGCTTTCTCCTTCTATTTGAGGCTAGTCTGGGCCAAGGATGAGGCAAACATGCCCTGCATAAGGAATAACAGAAAATAAAGTGTCATCTTCACCAGCGATTCCCAAGCAGATAAGCCTTAATCGTCTTGGGGTAAGAAGATGCTGCCTCCAAAAATAATATATATTTTTAGGTGTAAGCTAGATAAAATTTTTAAGGGATTTAATGTGATGAAAGCACAAAAGCATGGGAAGAGAACAAATTAACAATTTCGTAAATATCTAGTTGAGGAAACCTCTCTTAGAAAGGCATACTATAATTTTTATCTGAATTTCGAATGAATCCTTATTGTAGTTTCATAAATATCTCAAAGACATGTCTATTACTTTGCCCTTTCAAATGTCAGTTACTGAGCTTCTCACATGCCAGGGAATATTTTCTTACCTGCTGATACTCCTTTCAGCTCGTTAACCAGCACAACGCGCACATTTTGCTGCCATTTAACTTTGGTAGGAAATCAAAGAAGTGCACTTTGTGCACTGGAAGAAAAAAGAGAGAGAGCGAGGAGCACAGGATGTCGCAGCCGGAAGACAAACCGATTTCCTGGCGAGAAGCCTCAGAACGGAAGCTGAACTCGACAGCGGGGCTTTTGAGATGCTCCACGTAAATGGTGGCAAGCAATGCACTCGACAAGGTTAACCCCCTAATCGTTTATGTCCTCATACTCCTGTGGAAAATCCAAACTCACACACATATGTATGGCGGAAAATTGTTGAGGCGGTGTACCTTCTTTTGTGTGTGTGGGTAGACAGGTGAACAACAGTTTTTCCTTATTCTGGTTGCTTTCTTATTTAAGACAGCGTGTGTGTCAGGCATACGCAAAAAGCCAACTCACGGACTCTGAACTCTGGCCAAACGGAGGAAGGACTCTGCCTCTGACCTGGCTTGGCAAACATTTTGCAGCTTCCTTTTCAGCAACAGAATGCCTTTTCCTTGGGGCAGATGCTATCGGCATTTTTTCCGCTTCCGCAGTTTTATCACGGGGCATCAACTCATATCAGGGGAGGGGTGTTTCGTACTCCCCCCTTAAAGATTATAGGGTATGAGAGGGGAATATTAGACGCAGCTAATATATTTTAAAGAAATTTAAAAGGGTAAGTTTTTAAGTAATATGTATTTTAGAGGTAATTTATATATATTTATATTAATTAAACTTTAAATCGTATTAAATCTTCCTCCCCTGATTACTATATACATTTTTCGTAGCTATCTAATTCCTATTTCTGCTTTTCCTCTGTAACTTGCCTCTTCTAACACGATTGCAATTATTTTTTCAATTACCCTTAAGTAGTTAGCTAACTTTGTGCCAACCATTTCACCTAGTGTCCCTTCTATTAGTTGCCTAACTAGTTTAATTACTGCCTTTTCCCCCCATGCAACTCCGGGATGCTGCTTTTCCACTTTCCTGCCGCCTGCTGGGTGTCGAGAGTTCTCTCCACAGGATCTGCCACTTCCACACTCACACACACACACATGTTCACATATTTGTATTTGCTTCGTTACGTAGTCAGACTTACGTCATTGTCGGTCTACGTGGCGTGTTAATAACCAATGCGCACACTTACTTTCCGTATCAGCCTTCCCTTCGCCTTTTTGCCTCTTTCTGATTATCAGTTGACATTTTGCAACACAGGTTTACAGGTTAACAAGCAGAACAGAATGGTGCAGAGAGAATGGGCAATAAGGATGATTTTTTATACACTTTCTTAAAGGATTTTTTGGAGGTATTGATAAATGTATAGCCTATAAATATTGTTTAATATGATAATAAAATCGTTAATGGGCGAAGGGATTTTTTTTAATATTTAATCAAGTTGATGAACGATGGCAGATTATAATAATTAGAATGATTAGAAATACAAATTACTGTAATAATTCAAATATCTATATTATTAAACATTACAAAAAGAGTATACAAGTTTCTAATAAATAAAATAATGTTGTTTACTTCACATATTTACTGTATTCTTTTTTTACACCCAGCTGACTTTGAGCATTAATCATTTTTTGGGTCTTACAAAGTTAACCATCGCATGCACATGGTCCAGCCTAAGTAGTGAAGCTGTCGTTGCCAGACTCTATCCGGAAACATAATTAACAACAAGTTAGAGATTCAAGTAGATGATGATGATAAGTGTTATTATTTGTAGGTTAAAAGTGCAGAAAACAACTAAAGTATATAAGATAAAAGCAAGTAAGAAAACTAACTATACCCTCCATAGAAAATCGGTCATAACTAAGTCAAAACTGAATTATTTTTCAATCGAAAAGCTGATATGTGCTAGTTTTTATGAGGTTAACAAATCTGCAAACTTAATTTACAATTTAAAAATATTAAAATTTTGTCACATTTTTTTTATAATTTTAAAGATTTATATAAAATTTTCAAATTTTTGCAAAAAATAAATTTTAGCCGGACATAGCTAGATCTATTCCCCTTTTGATGCTGATCAAGAATATATATGATTTATAGGGTCGGAAATGACTTCTTCACATCGTTATAAGCTTCTAACTAAAATTGGAATACTCTATAAAATACCAAAATATGATTATTAAAGTCATTTTTTATATATACTAAACATCTCCCTAAATCAATTTGTGGCCTCAAAGGTTGATCAACACAAAAATAATAAAAATGTTGACAAATTTATTTAATCAAATATATAATGAACGTCACTGCAAATTTAATAAAATCCCAACTCACCTTTATAAGTTTTTCAATAAGCCAGACAGCAAATTTTCTTTATACTTTGACATTTTTTTTCTAAATGTCATTATTCAAAATAAACAGACATTTTTCGTAAGCTTGCCTTTTCTTACGACGAACAAATGCAAATGACTTATTTATTATTGTTGTCTGTTGTTGGCGTTAGTGATTATTCAATGTTCTCACCAAAATTTGCACACATAAGCGGATTACTTCTTGACATTGGGGAATTTTGGGAATTTCAGACCGAATTTTAATATCTCTTTCTTGAATATTTGATTGATTTTAATTAAGTTTAAAAAATATTTTAAAATATATGGGAATACAGTGTAAGGATCTGAAAGCTTCAATAAAGTTATATTAAAATATCTTGAGTAATGGCTTTCTTGTTATTTTTGTACAGAGTACAAGTAGCAAGCCCATAAATCAGCTTACATTTTTCAATTTGCCCAAAAAGTTTGCGAAATGTCGCGACAAAATTTTCCAACGCAGCAGTTTTCATTGTGGAAAACTTTATGTATGTGGCTGTGTGTGTGCGTAATCGATATCTAAATCCGCTTAGCTTAATTTGCTTTTTTATTTGCTTATTGAGCATTGCCTATCAGAAGTCAAATTCGAACAAGGAGGTTTTATTTTACTCTTCATGATTGATTGAACTCCAAGGAGAACCATTCCTTCCCTTAGCTGAAAAACAACATCATTGAAAAGAAAATAAGAAAAACAACTGTTACGCTTCTTACAATACTTAATTTTTTAAGTACATTGAGAGTTTGCTTTTTTTCTTTGGGGCTGTTAAACATTGTGGAGGACAAAAACCCATCAACGGAGAAAAGAAAATCTCATGAAAAACAATATTCCCCCAATCAACAGAATTCATTAATATTTAATAGGCATTAAATGAGTGCGTGGGCTGTGAAAAATAATATTTTTCACATAATTAAGTTAAGTGAGTGCCCGCCATACAAGAGAGATAATAGGAAATGGAATTTCGTTAGGAATGAGAAGGACATTATCCCAGAGAACTGGATTTAATATGAGCTTCAATAAATAAAAAGAAATTAGGTGGAGGCATTCTGAGGAGGGTATTTATTGTTATTTATTTTGAGTAAGTATAACATAAATATTATTTTGTGTAAGGTATTTTTGAATACGAATTGCTGTTATTTTAGATAAAATTAATATGTAATCAGTACAACTTTTCCATTCAGCTCTTTGACTTTGCCAGAGTTTCCCATATTCAGGCTATTTTCCCTTGGCTTCCAATTGTTCTTAGCCATAATTAACTATCTCCTATATAAGCTGCTTAATTTTGTGTGTGTGTGTGTGTGTGTGTCTGTGAGCCATATAGGTTCTTGGGTTTTCCGTTCATTCAATCGATTTCCATTTCCCCGAAAGTTAACTATTTGGAATGCGCCCAAAAGCCGGCAATGTTTTCTATCACTCGCACACACACGCAGCACACGCTTGATGGCCCTAACTAAAGTTGTTTTGACAGGCAACAAATGGCAAAGGACAACAAACAAGAACAGGATCCAGTCCAAGCCATTGTCTCACAGGAGGAGGTGGTATCTCTTGGCTGCTCCTGGCTTTCCACCTTTGTTCCAGCTTTTGTTTTATCTCCGGGACTTAATTGGAAAGCATGAAGACGCAAACACAGCGCGACGTGTTGGCATTAGCACACGCACATACATACAGGAATAACAAAACCACTACCGAAAATGTTTGTCCTTGGTCCGAGCCACAGCTGCCACACCGCCAGCACCACCATCCTTATATGTTCCCCCCACAGAAATTTTCCTCGAAGGCCAGCAGCGTTTATACATAATTTGCGAATGTTGCTTCAAGTGGCTCGACAGCTATTTATAGTTAGTTGGTAGTACATAGAAGTCGGGGGGTCAGAGAAAATCTATTGCCGCATTTAATATTTTGCTTTATTTTGTTCAAGTTGCAACTCCTGGCTTCTGGCTGCCATATATGTATGTATGTATGCATAAATAATGATAGCAATAAAAACTACTTTTGCGTGGCGAGCAACAGTTAGCTGACGGTAAAAACATAATCAAATTTCCATGGAACATTTAAGTAGAACTATAAAAATGGTTGCAATATGTTTTGGTTATCGCGATTAAGTCATAATATTCTTGGGAAATAAACCAAAGAATCTTTCATTTGTTTCAATGTATTGTATATTTCTTTATTCAGGAGAAATAGAAAAGTCTTAAACTGATTAACCACAAACAACACAAGAGTTAAATATAACATCTTAATCCTTTTACCAAAGCCTCATTTATCGATTTCAAGCTCTTGAAAAACCAGAAACCAAAGCTCAAGCCATTCTCCCTCAAAACTGTCCAATTAGACGAAACAAAATTTGCTCAACTAATTAGGCTCTTGAAAGCAAACACTTTGGTAAATTCCCCTTCAATGGCAGAATCTGTAGCAAATTTCCAGTTGCATGATTGTATGCAAATAAATCGTTAGCCGCAATTGCCGGCAAATACGGGAAGAGAGCAGAGGACCTTAAGGATCAACAATGAAAAGACGGCAACAAAACCCAAACCCAAGCCAAAACCAAACCAAACCAAACCGAATGAACCGAATACCGACACCTGGCCCCAATTACGAGACTAATTAATTGAAATCAAAGGCAGAAAGATACAATCAATCTGGCCAATTCACAGACTGGAATTCGATATCTTGTCCGCCTCTTTGGGGATTCGCCAGTCAAATCAATGTCCGGCCCAGACGCATTCGAAAGTTATGGCTTGCATAAAAGTCAGTGTCAATGATGAATGAAGCCCGCCTGGATTTGCATACCGATGCATACATTATGCTCGGCCAAAAGGGACCAAGTCTTCCAGGACACTGGGGACAAGTGGTAAAGTCACTACTTCTGCAGAGATTTCAAAGATGCGGAAAGAAAAATACGTATTCCATTTGAAAAAGCGACAGGATAAGCCAGCGAGCGAAAGGATAACAATGTCAGTGACACATGAGCCACGGAACGAGAGCAGAGAATAAAAAATAAGAAAAAATGGGGACAAGAAAGGAAAACTGGAATGCAAGCAAAGCTGGGAAAAAGTAAAATTCCTGCAAACTTGCAGGAATTTATTGCAAAACAAAGTGACTTCAAGATGAAAACAATAATGCCACTTAAAGGTAATGCTGGTTGGTAAAGCAGAATCAAATTTTATTGTATTAAAGAAAGTAGTAAGAGTTTAAAATTTAACTATACTATATTTATAGCATCTTATATCAACTTCCCTCTTTGCATTTTGTTACGGAAATTGGCAAGCCAAAGGTTTATGATTGATTTAATACCATGAAAAATAAACTAAGGAAATGGTAAAGAAAAATTGAGGAGGAAAAAGAAAATACATATGCCATAACTTGTTGGACAACTTATCCTTACTGATTTGTCCTTGTCAAAATGCATCCCCCGAACTTCCTCGAACGCTAAATAATAAAAGTGAGTTATAAAATGGTTGTTCTAATTCAGTAATTTCCTATTGTCTCACAATTTGCGTTCTCCTTGGCTTGGCAAATGATTTAATGAAATCAATTACAAGCACACCCGCCTCTGTACCTCCTTTGGAATCTGTGGAGCAAATGAAATTAGTGCGCTCCAAGGAGCCAAAGGACGAGGCCAAGAAAAAAGATGAAGATGAAAAAGGAAAATTTTGCTGCAGAACAAGCGTTAACTTGAACAAATTGTTTGTAGTCTCCTTGGCCATATTCTTTTATATATGGATTTTTATGGCCTTTTATTGAGTTTTTATTGCCTTTGCTACATGTTTGGGCTCCTTTTTCTGAAAGGAAAATTCAATTTGTGGTGACTGACTTTGATTTTATAAAGTTAATACCGTATACGGATTTATGTTTATATGGATGAGCGGAATATAATTGAATTGTCTTTGGAGATTTCCTTCATAATTCAATTTAAACGAAAGACAGTTTAGTTTAAAATCAATTTAATAAGTCTCTTAGTTTAGAAATTTAATTTTTACTTGGAATTTTATGCACTTTAAGCTTATAGCCAGGACATAACTATTAGCCTGATTTCTCCTCCTTCTTTGGCTGCTCCTTATTTCCTTCTTCTTCTTATGTTTCCTTTTCTTTTTCTTACTTTTCTTATCCGACTGCTCTGACTGTTCCGACTTGTCGGGTCTTCTATGCATGGCGGATTGCAAGGACTCTCTTTGACTTCCCTTTGAGTCACTCCCTTGTTGCACTCCTCGTAAACAGGCCGCGGTTCTTGATATCCGGTATCCGGTGAACATGGCGGGCAATCGCACAGGTTATCCCTTTCCGTGCAACAGCTGGGAGGCTTGGGTCCAATATAAAATGGATTAAAGCGGCATACCATCCTGAAGGACAACTAAAGAAATGTCCTAGCTGACAACTAAAAATTTTGATATTTTAAAGATATTTTTCTTATTTTTTAATCAAAATACATTTCATGACGAAAAACTAAGAGTATGTTTTAGGAACTTTAAAGACTACAAGTTTGCTTGTTTTATATTATAAATTGCTTTAATTTCAAGTCTTACCTTATTAAAATTTTGTAAAACAAAGGTTCTTTAAATTAGAAGGACACTTTAATTAAGAGAATTATCTCTCACATTAATCCCGCCTGAGGTAAGTTTTACGTAGGTGTCACATTTAAATTAAAATTAAACCATTCTTGGCCCAGCGATTTAGCCCGAGGCAGTTGTAATTATTTACGAGGCTAAAACACCAAAATTAGCATTAAATCGAGAACGGTCCAGACGAACAAACAAATTCAGTTTGCTGACAAATATTTACTGGCATGGGCCAGGCAAAAGAGAGCTTAAAGCTGATTATACGAGTTTGCTTAACAAATGCGAAAATTACACAACAAACAGACAGAGTTCGTTTAAAGAAAAACAGCAAAGAAAAACCGCAGGAAAATAAACATTTAATGGCGAGTGAGACGTCATAAAAAAGAAGAGAGACAGAGACCCGTCTCTAAAATGACGGGCGAGTAAAAATGTACCGAAATAAAGAGAAGGCAATAAAGCAAAACGCATAAGCCGCAACGCCACCAAAAAAAGGACGCACTTTGTGGCAAAGGGGAAGAGATAAAGGACACGCTCACATGCTTTGAAAGTTTTCAATTTTTACGACTTCATTAGAAACGCTTGATGAGCAATAATGATAACACATTGCGGACCGAAGCGGAAGCGGAAGTGGAAGCCGAAGAAGGGTGTACGGGAAGCGGAAACGCGAAGGCTGCTCACAGATGTTGCTAGAAATTACTCAGATTTTACCACTACCACAACTATGCTGAAAGCGAGAAGAAAGAATTCAGAATAGAACTAGCTGAAAAACTCTGTAATAATACCGATATTTTGTATACACTTTAAGTAATAATCAACTTATTTTTAATTATTTAAACCTTTTTTAATATTTCTTAAGTTATTAAGCTAGGTGTTTTAAATTGAAATATGGTTATAATTTTCTTTTAATTAATACAAAATTTATATAAATAATATTTTGTGTAAGCCTATTAATATTTTATGTCCATAAAAATAAGTATAACATTCTTTACCCCTTGACTCTCTAAGAAACAAATATCCTTTCCAAGGGTATGAAAAATCACAAAGCACAAAGAAAGAGGAGAAAAGCCGCTCCTTTAAGGAGGTGAAGCAGCTGGAAAATTACTCCACTCACCCGCATTTATGAATGAGTGTCGCTCAAGTGGCCAAATGTGTGTGGGGTGAGTGCAAAATGTGTTGACTGTAATGAAAGTTTAAATTGTTTTTCCCACCGAATGCCTAAGCGAATGTGACAGGGCAGGGAAATGTCGACAGGGGGTAAAGGACCTAAGGTCATGGCATTCCCTCCCCTCCAGTATTTAGCGAATAAATTTCATTTTCATGCATATAATACTACGCTTTGGTATAATAAAGTTTATCATATCATTTTGGGTCTGCTTTTCTATATATATAGAGGTTTCAAGGTTGGTTTTGTGAATAGAATATACAAATAGATAAACTTATGGTTATGGTTAAAGTAAAAATTCAGGACAATGATATGTGGGCAGGAATTTTATGGTGAGTTGGAGAAGGGTCTCTGATAATGGAGAAATAAATTTTATAAATACAAAGTTGGGTCCTTTTTCTGGGTGTAAAGTCAGAGATTTATGGTTTTGTATATGGCTATTATTGACTTAATTTAGGCCTTGCAGGAAATATATTTATGCTATGTACATCTAATTTTAGAACCATTTTGTTACCTTCTTCCATTGGGAAAATAAAAATCTATTGGCAAATGTTGCTTATTTCCATCGTAACCATAATTAGAGAGTTTGGAGTAAAGCCCTCATTACAACTATTTCCCTTTGACCTTTCTCTCTCCCCCAAAACCCGTTCACTTAATTATAGGTTGATTCAATTTAAAATCCATACGAGACCCACAAGTTGAGCACGTTTAATCACATAATTACTGCCCAACGCCCGGTGAGAAAATCGCTCGTTCGATGTGCAATCTTCTCACTTGGCAGCATATAGTAAATATGAGTTGAAATGGATTCGTATGCGGAGCATTGGGATACATGTGTAATTACGCTTGCCCATGGACAAACAAATTCCCACATCGGACACCACACACACACGCATACACACACTCTCTCCCACGAAGGACATACATCAGGCTCGTCCAGGTCACGTTGGCTCATTTTCGCTAATGTTTTATGCACAACTAAATACAAATGCGCTTTAATGAGCAAAACTCGAACCGGCCATGCGGTTAATTTATTATGCACAACTCCCTCGCAGCCGAGTACATACATATATCCATAGAGGGGGGCCGGGCAAGGATAGCAAGGATAACAAATAATATGGCATTGTCGTGACATTAAATTGCCAATGCTGGGCTTAGGGATATCGGCGGAGGGGAATGCAGAATGCAGATAAACCGCAGCAAGTCAACTTGAATGCATGTAACAATTACTCTCGTCCGCTCCTGCTCGCACACACACACACCACACACACACACACACGCCGCAGGACCATAAAATGCAGGCAACAAAATGGTGTAGAAAAAACTGTGATATTCGCAATGGCAACAACATGGTGTGGCATACTTTTCGGGGCCAGTGGCAAAGAGGACTTGGCCACAGAACAAGGCCAAGCCGGAACTTAATACGAGAAGGATACTCGAGTGCGATTTAGGGTGCAATATGTAGTTCAGCCGGTCATCATGATGGTAAAACTATGCCGAAATTCCATAGCTTATAATTTAAAACAATTTCCATTGTTCACACTTGAATGAGTTAAAAAAAAGAAATGGTTATTTCCTGGGAGAAAGTGGTATATATAAAGCAAGGAACTTATGAGGGGTTTTATTATTTTGAAACAATAAACTTTTATTTTGATGATGTGAACCCTTAAAAGTCTCAAACTTACATTGATATGAAATGTGTGTTAATATATATTGCTAAAAAAAACATAATAATCGAATAAATTTAAAATATCAGATTCTAAATTACTATTAGAAAAGTAGAGCTTGCAGAAAATACGTACCTAATTAAATTCAATTACTCAACTTTTGTTTAAAGGAATGAAGCGATGTAATAAAAATGACACAGTAAATTTCAGCTTAAACGTTTTTAAAACACTATTTTCAACTCACTTCCAACAGGAAAGTTCCGCAGAAAATTTAATATACAAATTACTTACAGAAAATGCCAAAAGTTCCTTAAATATTAAAAAGATCTCTAGACCTTTTAATAACAGGAAATTATGTATACAAAATACTTGCAGAAAATTCAAATAGTTCCTTAAATATTAGAATGATCTCTATACCTTTTAATAAATCTAAAAGATACATTAATTTTGCCGCTCAGATAAATGTATTCAAATAAAATATACAATAAATTACTACCCATTTTGAATGCTCGCGTTGCACCTGTCTAATCTGTAACAACATTTCCCAATTAGTTACCACCATTACATATTATATTCTATCTAACTACATAACTGCAACTCTAATGAAATACTGAATTTCAAAATTGCCCAGTGAAGCGTCCACGCTGCACGGGGCCAAGCCCCAGGGATTTGCCTTTCCACTGATCCCACACTCTAGTGCCCTGCCTGTCGGGACATTTATCATGTGGGACATGCCTGGCCATTTGATTAACACCTTTTTTTTGGGGGGGGGGGGAGAAAGGCATTGGTCAGAGCAAAATAAAATTGCGCTGAATAATTTAAAACTAAGCCAGAGTCTGACCAAAAACCTGAGTTGCTGCACAATTTTGCTCCTGTTTCGCCCCGTTTTGTTGTTCGGTGGCATTTCGCATGCCTCGTTGGATGCGGTCCAAAAAGGAAAACCTACCAAATGTATGCGAAAATATACACATAAAGGATATATACATATGTGAGCGAATTTATAAATGTGCACTATGTGCTGCTATTCTATGCGACTTTTGCGTGTAAGCGCTGACTAAGCCAACTCATGCGAGCTGGTTCTCTGGGCCAGGATACAAGTGGGCGGCATTACGGGGGGGCGAAAGGGGTTTGAGGCGCATTGCAAGTTGCAACCATCTGCAGCTTGCAACAACTTGTGTGGAAAACGTGTTAAATCTAAAAGGATTTTAAAAGGCCATGGAAACCGAAATGTGATGATGATCAACGTTATCTACCAAACACGGCGGTGTTTGTGTCAAAAGGGAAAGGTATGAAAAGTGTCAACGAGGAAAACTTTGATGTTTCTATAAGCGAGTTTATTTTATTTTTTTTATTAATTTAAAAACATACATGCAGCTTAATGTCGCCGGTATTTATATCCTATTTTTGGAAAGGAATTTAATTTATAAAATAGCAATGATAAGTCATACGTATTATGATTTGCAAATCAAATACTTACCTATGAGTAACTCCAAGAGTAACATACATCGGCTTTAAAAAGTTAACTACCTTCTGATTTTCAATAAAATTCCTCAAACTTCAGCATAAAGCTAATACATACTTTAAATTAATCAAGAAATCGGATACTGTCACGGTAACCTTAGATTTTCCCCCTCGACTCGTGTAGTCACCTCATTAATGACAAAACCAAAATCCAGCAGTGGAGCATCGATAAGAGCAAGCGTGGAAAGTCTTCAAACTGCCAAGAGCCACGTGGAACTTAATCCCTTATCTTAGCTTGGCCAACAAAGTGGAAACAAAAGCCGCCATGACAACAGGCCAAATCCTTTCAACTATTCGATGAAAGGGAAAACCACACCGCTTAAGCAAAACACATACCAAGGGAACCATTGAATTGAATTAGGGATGTCAAAGGTTACAAAATGTTAACTATTCTATGTAATATACGATACTTAAGTAATTTTAAATTGGTTAAGTTTCTAATATTAATTTTATGAAATTTATTTTTATAATATTTTTTTAAGCTACTTCTGCTAAATAAATGAATTTGTGGGGGTTATCAATATTAATAGCAAAGTGATATTTTTATTTTTAATACCTCAGCCATTTTTCTGGGTATTTAGATTTACCATTTGAATTCGATTAAAATGTGTTAAAAGTATTTATATTAATATTATATTAAAAAAAACTCTGTAAAACAAAAAACAATGCTTCAATTTCTATGTTTAAAACTAGTTTTGATTTTATAGTAGGCTCTGATTGATCTGTTTCTGTCCACGTTCATTATTTCAATTTGGAATCTTTTAATTTTTAATTCAATTTCCGGATAAAAGAAGAAACTAATGTAAGATTTGAACTATGGATAGCTTGAATGACTTGGATGACTGGGATGACCTGGATGACTTTGTACTGAATTACTTGCGAATACATTGCAGGAAATCGAAGGCCCGCAGAAAGGCGAAGAGATTACGTTTAGCGGTGGTGTCCAGGATACCGCCCTCCGCCGAGCAGATCAGGCTGCGTGAAGTTGAGCAGTTTCGGCGCAGGCGTAAAGTGGTTTGTTTTTACAATCAATATATATAGATTTCTATATATTTTATTAGTACTAAGCTAATCCAAACTCTTGCCTGCGTCTCAGATGGCCAAACAATTCGATATGAATTTGCAAGCTGATATGATGTATGAATTTGAGGAGACTATGAAGGAAGACTTTCGGCGAAGGGAGAAAGAAAGACATGATTCTCCAATGGCATCTTCAGCCACAACACCTCAAAATTCACCAACTTGGACGTCCAGTCAAGGGGAGATGGATCAAGATGATAGCAATGAATATGAGACTATTAATCATACTTACAATAAAGCCAATAACTTTTATTAACCTTTTAATCTATTTATTACAGAGGCCTAACATCAAAGAGGGCACATAACGAATTTATAATGAAACCAGAACTTATTTGATTAATAAAACTTAAGAGTTCCAATCTTTTTATATATCTAATATTCCTATTTTTGGTACAATGTACATCTCTAACATGAACTTTAATGGCAAAACACTTTATGGCTCATTATTTTCAATGCAAGTTGCTGGCGTTCACAATTTCGCTCATTTGCAGCTCGTGTAACTTTTCATTAAACAAAAACTGAATTCAGAATGAATATTTAAACTTGTGCATAATGCACACGGACAGCCATTAACGCTAATGACGTCATGAAATTCAATGCACACCACTGGAAAGCGGTCTTGCCACCCACCTTTTTTCAAGGTGTGGGTTGTGGGAGGTTTGGGGGTAAAAATGAACCAGAAAGACGAGCTCTATGTGGCCACAAAATGGAGCACAAAACATTATGTTGGCCCCATCTTTGCCCTTAAATGGAACTCATTTGAGGCAGTCCTATAGCTTCATAAAGGTATTGAAAAGTCTAAAAATATAGAATAGTTTTCACAATAGTCACAACCTTATACAAATTTATATTTTATAGATTGGAATTAACAGTTCTAGTCAAACTGTTAGAATTTAATTGACTTTAGTAAAAGAAAATCATTATAAAAATCTAAAATAAATGTTACCATTAATATTGAAGACCTACAGTTTGATTTTCCATCTTTAATTGATCTATCAATCTAAAATTCAATTCTTTAAGTCTTAAAATATGACACTTCTAATCAAATTTGGATTAAAAATTCTCATAAATCTATTAATTAATCCCAAAATATTGTGGTTTCCCCAAAAACATTCAACTTTCTAGGCTCAAGTACAACCCATTTATGGTTGACTGACATTATCTGATTGCCAGTTTTTGACCAACGCAGCATATGAATTTAACGACGCCGACCACATGTTCTCAATGGCCAACTCTCAGTTGAAACATTCTCAAAGGTTAAGAGCCAAGAAAAATAAATATAAAAAAAGGGGAAAAGGCGGAACAACTTTTGTAACAGGAATTGGTAAAGGGATTCCATTTTGTTGCGCCATTATTGGGCCACAACTAAAGCCAGTTCCGGTGCGGGGAAAATGTTTTTTCCCGTTTTCTGGTTCACGTACACTTTTGAGATATATAAAAAAGGAAAAGGGGGAAAAACCGTGCTGACAGTGCCAGAGAGAGTCACAGAGAGAGTTGACCCCGCTTGGCACGATTTCCATTCCATATAGCGTTAGTGTGCCAAATGTGTATATATTTTATTTACAGCTCAAAACTTTTTTGAGAGACATCCCCAAGAAGTGTCCCCCGAAGCATTGCTTTGTTTTGGCAGAACGTTTTACGAGCCAGGAATACGGAATGAATCAATTGTTTGGAAAGCGACTGTAAATGTGAAATATGGGGATTTGATAATAAATAATATTTTGTCAATGAGGGAAGAGAATATATCAGAAATAAGAAAAAATCAGAAAGGATAACTTTTCAGAACCTTTAGAGAAAATCTGTCATAACTAAGTCAAAAATGCATTAATTTTCAATCGGAAAGCTGCTCTGTGTTCGTTTTGTTCTGTTTATAAATCTTATACCAAACTTAAAAATTTTACAAATTAAATTTTTCTTGAAATTTTTCAGAATTTTAACGATGTAACCCCTTATAAAATTTTGATAAATTTGGTCAAATTTTTTTTCTTCCAAAACATGGCTAGATCGACTCGTCTGTTCATGCTGATCAAGAATATATGTGATTTATAGGGTAGGAAATGATTCCTTCTCTGTGTTTTAAGCTTCTGACTAAAAATTTAAAACTCTGAAGGGTAAACAATAAGAGAATTAAATATGATATAGAATCCGAAATTTAGTGCTTAAAAATGTTATTGAAGCTAAAAATATTAGAAATATATTATTCTTATTTCATTACTTTAATCATGGGAAACAAAATGTTATTATATTTAAAAAGTTATAAAACTGAAATTTCCCATTCGCGGCCCCATTTCCTTGGCCAATTCAAGGCAATTTTCGCTGTCCAAACTGTAATTACCAGTTAAACCAACTGAGGCATACCGACAAACTGAAAAGGAAGTTATTCCAGCATCCTGTAGCTTCCAGGAGGCAAGTTCTTTTCGCACAGGCTACTTACAAAACTTTCCACCAAGTTTGTGTGTATATTTTAGTGGAATATTTTGGATAATATCTTCTTGACTGCACGGCGCTTATTTCAATTTGTGACCTCTTAATTATGTTTCATTAGTTTTCAAAGTTTCGTTTAGGTTTCGAAATTGCAAAGTGCTAGGAGGTGTATTAAAGCCGGAATTTATTTAGATTTTTATTACAAATCTTTACCTAGTTAAAGTCTGTATTTAAACACTAACCACAGCAGCAATTATTAAAGATTCATCTATATAAAAGAATTTATACATCAATTAATTATTAACCTTTTCAATGAAATAGTTAAAAGTGATATCATCAGTTTATGGCCAGACTTATTTTCAAATTCAGGCAACTTGACCCATTCCTGTGGCATCCATATATTTTCGACAACATTGCTTCGTCCAATTAAAATTGTTTGCTTTTGTTCCCCATAACAACAACACAATCAAAAAGGCCGATGCTCCATTACATCCATTCACCACATTGTTGGGCTTATCTGTTTGATGATTTTCCATTTAATTCATAAATATTTGATAACATCGACAATCGAAGGCCCTGCATCTTTCATTACCCATCAAAGCGAGTTGGCGTTGAAAATGTCAGACGAAGGACAGAATAGGGACAGAATTTCCCCAAAGAACGGCTGGCAAAAACAATAACAACAATAGATGTGGAAAATGAAAATCGTTGTCATCATCATCACTGCTGCTGGCGCATGGAAGCAAAATAAATTTTAAATTGAAATCAATAATGTATATTGGGACTTTTGGGTAGGCAACAATCAGAGTAGAACACTGCATGCGGAGGAACCCGAATGACATTGATGAAATGCACAATTGGCCTCTGGATTAATTAATAATATTTTTTATATACATATGTGGGTCAGACATTTGTATACTCAATGGGTAAAACGTTGGTAAGCCATTGAGATAAATCAAATTGTTGGAAACATATGTTTCTGTGAATAAAACATGTTAACTTTTTATGCAAAAAAAAAGTATGTTACTTGAGTATAAATCATTAGGCCGATCGTTGAAGTTATACTATAGCAATTAAATTGCTTTAATTAATTATAAACTACATATGTTTATAAAGAGTAATTAATTAAAAGTATTTTATAAAAATCATATTATTATTATTAAAGTAGAACTATTTCAGAGCTCTTATACATTTCGCTTCATAAACTTGTCAGAAAAAAATGTGTTATCTTTTCTAAACTCAAATCTCAACCATGGCCTAAAAGCACAATTTTTCCGCACCAAAACTTTAGCTGGAAAATGTATTTTCCGCATGCAGCACAAGAGCCAACTTTCTGATGCCCTCAAGGCCGCAATGGAACTCCTCTGTACCGTGTTGACCATTCGACGTGTAGGTCCTTAAATCGACCCACTCGGGAGAAGAAATAAAAGAAAACACACACACTGCGGAAATGTACAGAAAATAAAAGCGCAGCGAGAAAATCCACAGCGAACAACAACAACTGGGGCCCAATTCAGTGGGCTCGTTCCTTGTTCCCTGTTTTCGTCCTGCTGCATTTTTTAATTAAACCGAGCGACAATTTGACATCAATATCGAAATTAAGATCTTGCAGAGAGGCCGTACTACACTTCAGCAGGAACAACATAAAAAAGGTAAACAACGAGAAAGCCAAACCAAAAATGAAAAGGGGAAGTTATCAGTTAAGCCCCACCCAACACTTTCAACAGACAAGGCAACTTCCGTCACATGCGGAAAAAGCGGATATCCGGTGCAACCATTTTGTTTTTTTATGGTAGTTCCTTTGAGTATAAAGAGTTGTATTGGAGGTGTAAGATCAAATAGTTAAAAAATATAAATACTTGAATAAATATTTTTGTTTATTTTAAGTACTTTAAATATTTGTAGTTTTTATTTATTTTGGAGAGACTTTTCATAATTTTTAATAAAAAGGAAGTATAGCTTGAAAATGTTTATTTATTACCAATACAAAAATACGTTTAGCTTTCAATAAATATTTATAAAATGTAACTATTTAAATTTTACCTTATTTTCATGTTATTATATATTATTATTATAGGGTATCCCCTTAGTCGCTAGATTTCCGTAACTTTACCCCCGGCAATCTCGTATTTTCAACGCTTCAGTTTTGTTTTGTCGCTTTCAATTTGCTTTCGCCCTTCGTTCGCTTATTGCTTCTGTTTATGTGTAAATCGTCGATGGGAGAGGGCGGAGGTCTGTGTGGGTGTGTGGGGGCGCGGCCAGGCCGGATATTGATGTGTTATATGCGATGTTGTGACTGCAATATATTTGCCAAATGACGGTTGATGCCTCTGCCCCTGGCTCCCTGACACACACACACAGAAAAGCAAAAAAACAAAAAAGGAAACGAAACCATGAGGGAGATAAAGGTCCGCATGCGGATGCAGGAGCAATAAAATGTTCGTTTCGCAGGACTCGAGATGGGGAAATAATTGCGGGCCCCCACCAAAAGTGTTGCCATAAAAATGCAAATGCTAAATGCCGCAAAGTTGCGAACGAGAGAACGTCCTGGAAAACAAATAATGACGAAACCCTTGACAGCAACCAACATAAATCCAGTCTGACACATATATTACAAATGACAGAGTGAAGAGTTAAAATGGGAAGCAAATCGAATAGCTTTAAGCGTTTCACATGTGAAAAATTTCCAGGCTGCCAATTATTTCTGGCATATTTTTTATTTATAGCCGAGAGCTATCAAATCGCCATAAAAAGCATACATAGAGAAATATTTTTAATCTATGATTCATAGTGAGGTCAAATGGCCACAGCTTGTTTGGGGCAATCAAAAAA